AATTTATTCAAAATCGTCAACTTACAATTGTTGTTCGTGAATCAATTTGATAGTATATGGATGGCGTGAGCTGGTTTTTTTCTTTCACTTTGTTCTAAGATATTGGAAAATGTGCTCTACTACTTGATGTAAAGATAGGTTAGTGTATATTTCTTGATATTCATATGATACATAGAGAGTAAAAATAAATCTCACGCATCTAAACATTTTTGAGTATTAACCTAATGGTTTGCCATGTTCATAGATTATCTGGCTTCAGATGTTTTTCTCCAGAAATATCCCACCACATCTTAATTTGATCTCAGAACCAAGGCACACATTTTGTCACTGCAGAAGATTTTTCTTTCCTATCGAGAATGGTATAAAACCGTCAGGATTCCTGTTGGATGGTGGATTGTCAGGACCAGATCCTCCAGTCCATTTATTGGGAGGAACATTGAGCAGCTCTGGAACAGAGATATTCTCCTGGGAGAGTAGGTTAGTTTCCACTCACTCTAGTTTTTACTCCTTGGTGCACGTCCTTTTTCCATCTTTTATCTATACTGAGCTCTTGTTTTGGTAGGGTCTATAACACAGGTGCTCATGATCTCCATGCGCAACTGGTTCCCAACATGGAATGGAAATATGTGGCTAAGCAAGATGGTTCTGTTCAACTGGCCATCGACAGAGTACATACACAAGTCTGGATGTTATTGAATTTTTATCTTCAAGAGTTCTTAATGGTAAAGATTTTAATTTATCGTTGGCATACCTCTTCAAATTATGATTTGGAATACTTGCACCAATTAGAACTAAAACAATAATAAAACTGTTTTGTAATATTTGCTTCCAACATTGAGTCTTTAGGTTTTGAAGTACAAATGTGATAAAATCCTGATTCTGCATACGATTATTGCTGTATTCTATTGGTATCCGATCATTGTGTTAGTAAAGTTACTTCGCCGAATAAGAAATATAGAACTCTCAAAACCTGTTTTTCATGCCGTGTTGGCTATTTGTGTACTTGAAACTCTGGTTACAAATCCACACAAAATCAAAATCTGTTTATCATACTTCATGAGACATGTTTCTTTCTAAAAAATTATATCTTGGTCATTGCGGCTAGTTTTGTGTACTTAAACTCTATGGATTCATGACTATTGTTGAAAGGGAAAAAAAGGTATGAATTACCTTTAATAGAGTATAGTGCTTGTAAAAAACTGTGTCAAAGACGTCTCTAATAGGCTAGGCAAGGGTTCCTAATGATCTCGCTAGGTCTGTCAGGAGATCTTTTGTTTTTTATCATTCCCTTATTAGATGGTCTTTTTTACCTTTCTTGCATGAAAGTTTATATTAGGGTACTGGATGTTTCTATGTCACGGGTTTCCTACGACTAAACATAAATACAGAGAAATTTTTAACATTCTTAAATTTTATCTTTATTCATTTGTGATGTTAGTAGATTTTCATGATTATTTTAATTATTGTCGGCTATAAAAGATGAATTGAATTAATGTTATGAGAGAGAAATAATTATTTGAAAAAAATTTCACTTGGGATTGTTGAAATACTAAAAGAAAGAAAATGATATAATGCAAATATATTTTTTCTATTAATTTAGAGATGAAAACCTAAACAATATAATAAGAAGTGGAACCAAAAAAGGATTTTCAATCTATGGAATTGACTAACATAAAAATTTATTACTGATTGTGAAAATGATATTTATGATATTAATGCTCTCGTGTAGCAATCATAAATGGTATATATAATAGTATGATTAAAGATAAATGCTGTTTTCTAAATGGGAATGGTAAAGAGTGTATATGGATCATGACGTAGATTTGGTAGGATCTTTTACAAATAACAAATTGGTGCAAATTAGAAAATACTCAGATGGCTTAAATAATTCTCTAAGATTATATTTGGTAGATTTTAAAAAGTCATGAATAAAGCTAGATATACAAATAAAACTAAGGACATTATCCTCTTCATAAAATATGTGATGATAAATTAAATTTTTATTGTATAAGTTGATGATATGTTGATAATTGAAGAAGTTCTAAGAAATGCTTTTAAGAAGCTTGTAATCAAAGAGTTGGGCAATTAAATACTCTTTAGGAATACGTCTAAATAAAAGATTCATGGATCTACAAAAGGAAATCAATGACTGCTTGCAAAATTTTGAAATTACAACTGAACTAAGATAAAAAATTGACGCAATAAAGAAGGAAAAGAAGAGGCGCATGGATAAGATAAGAGATTAATAAAAGTAATTTTAATCTATTACACAAGTTAAAACATTGCATTTATAGCGAGTCTTATCATTAATTATATTCAAACTTACTAATCACCTTTAGCTCTTATAGAATCTTATGACAGTCATTAATTCAGGGTCTTATAGATTGAATCCTCTTAGGATACTTACAATTAAAGGATTATATTAACTCGCTATGTGGTCACTATTGATAGAATATTCTAAATTGATATTAATTTTTAGGAGAAATCTAATAATATGATGGAGAACGATAACATGTTGAAGATCTAGCTCAATTTTAAATCTAAGAGTTATTGCTAAGGAATTCGAGTTAAGTTTCAAAACAATTTTGAAATATTTAAAAATCAAATGGATGGCCGATAAAGATATCTGTGAATAATATATCTACCATAGAGCATTTACCCAGTTTATATGATTGTGAGCATGTAAGGTGGGTAAATATTTCACAAAGAAAATATGGAAAGTGGAATCAAGTGCATAACTTCTTGCAAAGAAATATGAATCCTATGTTCAAACATGTAAAGCAACTTTGAAATGGTAGATTTATACATTAGTTATGAAGGGTAATATTAAAGATCATGCCACAAGTCAGTCAAATTGATGAGGATGATTGAGCCACATTAAATATTTTACTATAGATTGATTCTCTTAGGGCTCTTACTTATTTTGATTTGCTCTTTCTATTATTAAGCCAGCAGTCCTCTTGAAGATTTTTTTTTTTGATAATAATTTTATTTTTTTTTCATAAGTTTTTTTTGGAGAAGTTAATATACTTCACATTTTATACAGAATCAATCAAATTTTTTTCTACTGTCCTGCTTTCTACATCAATGTCATATTTGTTTTTCAGCAGAACATTTATGAACATGATATTATTGAATTTGTCTTCATCCGACTGGTCGATTCCAGTTACTGGAAAAAGCATGAAAAAACTCTTTACATTTTTAAATTTTGAAGGTATGCAGATAGTCCAAGCCTTTTGGGTAATTGAGCTATTTGAAGAACTTTGCATGTGCAAGTCAGATAGTATTCTTGTATCATAATTACTAAAAGTGGTTACAAATTGTTCGGAATATTATTCTAACGCATATGATTGTGTTTGTCAGAGAGATAGGCAAGAGACTCCATGGATATAATGAAGCCACGATTGGGGATACAAATGGTTGTGGTAGATGTACACTATATAACTATTTGATGCTTTTGTTGGGTTGTCTAAATACATTTACAAAATTGCCAATTCATTTACAACAGCAGGGTGGCCGACAGTGAGGCACTAAACAACGAAATGGACTCTGTCTTTTATCGGTTGGTGTTTAATTATGGTTTTCAATATTTAACATTTAACCAAGTATATTTTTCTCTACTTGTATTAGTCATTTTTTAAATAACATATTTACTTGAGCTATTTGCTATTCTTAATTAAAGCTCGTTTGGTGGTTTTATTAACTGTTCTTGAAGTGCTTTCTGAGTAAAAATAAATTTTATCTAAAAAGTTGTCTTTAAGAAAGTAGTATAAAGCCGTCCAACGAAGCTAAGTTTGAGAATTTTTACATCCTACAATGAAAACAAAAAGAAAAATGGAGATATGTATATTGTTTAGGATGAGTGGGTGAATGAGTGGGAATTGCAAATGCTTCTCGAAGGAGTATCAAATATTTGGAAGCACTCAGTTGAGTTTATGAACTGCTTCTTTTGTTGGTCTGGATTGGACACTCAGAAAGTGAAGAAAACAATTGGGACTTCGAGTGGAGATTAGAAGAATACTCTGTGCTTAGTATGTGTGTATTTTTTTTCATTCCTTATATTTTTCCATATTACATTGCACTTACCTTGTTGGCTTTGCATCAGAAATATTC